AGTTATTTCTAGAATCTTATCTGCAGTAATAGCTAAGTTCTCTATTACAGTACCCTCAAGTGTCACAAGTACGGTCTGTACAGATTGTGGCAACTTGGTTAAGAAGAGTTCTCTAAACAGTCCTTCGTCGAACTGACATTGGCCGACGACTTGTTTCATTCTTGTCAGCATGCTCACGGCTGACTGATCTCCTAACTCGATGTTGCGAAATAATTCATCTAGACGTTGTCTGTCCGTGAGAGCGTTTCTCCTGAGGAGGGATGCTTTCAGCAACTCGTACGAGTTACTTACCTCGGGACTCAACATCTGTGATGTTACGTACTTGCTGAATTCCCGCGGTAGGGCGTGAATAACTGCAAGTAACTGTGAACGTTGATCAGTTATCCCATGCTCACAAAAATCTGCTTCAGCTAGCAGAAACCACGTTTCAGCATTATCTGGCCAGTATGGTACGAGCTGAATGGTTTTAGGAGTTGAGCGGATACGGATGACCTTGGGACTAAGATCACTCATGACGAAAATTATATCGAATAATATATGGTACAAGAACAAATACAAAATGGAACGAACTCACCGGGATTATCTGAGTAATTGTCGTAGATGAAGTTCGCGGTTAGGCTCACCAGTTTAAAGGTTGACGGATATTAAAGGTTTGACGTGATATCTCGTTCAACAACTTCTAATTAATTTATTCTCGCGTACCAAAGACAAAGCAAAAGCCAATAATTGGTCGTCCAAACGAAGAAATGTATTTAGGAACCAAAACCAGCCGATAGACGAACGCTTAGCTAGCTAGTGATCGTGCACGTTACACGACGGGGTACCAAATGGCGGGGATGCTTGACCGGAAGCCTTCAGCTAAACAAGTCGACTTAAACAGTGGTGGTCAGCATCCAATGAGTGATTGCTGTGGTCAATAATTTTGGGGAATTATTTACCGCTACAACATCTTTATATGTAATACACAAATCTTTAGCAGTTTGAAAGGTACAAGAAGGAATCTGAATTAACTCTTTCTCTAACTTAGGAATATTGATACCAGCAATTAGACGATCACGTAGTTTAGTATGCAGCTGATCTCCAAAGTTGAGCTTTGAAGCTTGTATTTGAAGTTGCAGAATGAAGTCTCTTATCTTCTGATTGGGAGCACGAACCAGTTTATTGAATTGAGCCTTCTCTCTGGTCTCAAATGTAGTTACATGAAAAGGATGTATCAGAAGTTCACGAATCTTGTCATATGACAGAGAAATGGGTTTATCTGGAAACGCCAAAGTCTCCTCTAGGCTATATGCATCTAGTCCAATAGCAGTAATGAAATGAGCTGGAATTTTGTCATCCCGAGCGTTCTTTGAAATGCATCATGCATCGAAGCATTCAAGGTAATCAGCAATCTCCCGCGGTCAACCATTTATAGGAAATTTTCCAAGGTTATTTGGTTCCATCGCGATGCCAATTTGTTGTAATTATTTGTAATCGTAGTATTAGTATTTCGAGATGACCGAATTACAAGAACCCAACCAAAACACAGAGAGGGCGGAATTCAGAAATTTGTATTTAGCGGAATTATACTGCATTTCATATAAGAAATATATTAACAAGCAACAGTAATTATTTAAACAATACAGAGATAGAAATAGTCAATCACCATATAAATTCAGGACATTCAGCACCTTTCGAAAAATTCTTCAAAGTAATATACAAGATTCAATCAAACCTATCAAAGGGAGTGAAATTAAGACATCTGGGCATAGCGAAGGCACTAGCTATCCAAAAGAAATACGTCGAACCCCTGTGCCTGCCATAGCCATCATAAACAGGTAACGTTTTTAGTAATGATCTTCCCATCGGCTTTCTTATCTAGACTTCCTGTTTATTCATGTTATTTTTAAGTTTTCTTAATCCCTGTTTACACTATCATATTTTCATATCCGGACTTCCTGTTTATTCTGTCATTTTACTATTTCTACATATTTACTTCCTGATTGCATAAACAATTATTTAACACATTAGTTTTTTTATCTAAACATCCTGTCTATTTTGTTATTTCTACATTTCTAACCCTAAATGGACAATGTCAATCTTCTTAGTTATTATGATGCTACTTTGTTTGAGTTTTCTCCGTCTCCCTGTTTATTATGGCATTCTAATTCCTAATTTTAATTAATTTGCCCCTTAACCGGAAATTATTCTGGAACTTTCCCATCCATTTGATTTAAATACACGAATGTACAGCCTATATGATGGGTTTCGTGGAAAAGAAAATTTTCTTCACTGCAACTGTCTTCTTAATAACTCCTATTGACCCAATGTGTATATTCCGTTATTTATTTTACTAAAAAACATCTTATTGACTAATACTCCTCTTAATTCCCATCGTATTATATTTTACTGATAACAGTAATATTGTTTTCCAATGTACTTTATCTTCCTTTCTGTTTCATACATGTTTATTGAACTTTTGTTGAATTTTATCCATATGTCTAATCAGTTTTTTTATTCATTTATATAAACGAAGCATGAAAGTTGTGTGACTGCATTGATATGATTATGAGCAATAAATTGTACTCGTAACGTGGTCATCAGTAAATATCAATAATTTAGAGATAAGCAAACACAGACTTATTTTCGTTTCTTCGTGAACATTTGTAATTTTTTATACGGCTATTCGTCATGTCCAGGAATGAGATGAGATTATTGTACAAAACTCGTCAATACCTTAATGTAGTTTTGGAAATACTGAAATAACTACAGTTATGATGCACCATCGCTACAGTAAGGTTGACCAGTTTATATGTTGACACAGTTCGAGTGTAGAGCATACGCCTAGTTGTCAATGAGGAATAAATGGATTTTACCATATACTCAACGCGAAACCTCGGTATCTGATAGGTGCTCCTTCATAATGAAAATCATGAATAGAGATTCACTTGATTGATAATATCTTATGTCCCAAAAACAAGTGACTGCATCATTTAAAGTATTACAATTATATTAAGCACCCATTCATTCAGCATATGTGGCTTTTTTGTCTTGTTTTCCATTTTAACCTAGTCTCAGTTGGCCCAAGTTTCCGCGTTAGCAGTTCAGTTCAAAATTATCGCCATGATGGAAAAAAGGGATGGACTCTTTTTTGACGGGGAGTGTAAATAAATGTGAACACTGAACGTTTGTTTATTGGAACTGGTAGCCATTGGTGGGCAACTGTGCGTCAGTGGCACAGTGGTTAGGACTCTCGCCGACCATGCACATGGTTCAGGGTTCTATCCCCTATCGATGCACACTTGATATCAATGGTCGGCCTGCAAAATCTGGCCTACCGATATCACATGCTGAAAATTCCATACCTGTAACAGAAAAATACGGTGTGGAATCAAGCTGTAATCAAAAGTATAAAAAATAGAAGGCGCGAGCGATTCGATCGTGTACAAGTTGGAAAAAGACCAGAGAATACGAATACACGTGTAACAACAGAAGACAAGGGCCAAGCAACAGATCGTTTATTATGGAAATCAACACATATTTATAGATTTTCATGTACATATTATAGATTATTGTTAGCGGAAAAACATAGTCTTCTGACTGGTTGTTTCTCACAGAAAGTTAACCTCGCATCTCTTTGTGGCTGTTTCTTGAATGTCAGACCATCGATATGTTAACTGTATCCGACTACGCAAAGCCTTTGTTCTCACGACCAATATTGGGGGCATAAACATTGACGTAAATTACTGCCCACCAATTTTGACTAACAGCCAGCTCTCACCACAAAAGTACAATACACTCCTTGTAAAACATTTATAGACTTTGTATCAATATCGATTTTAATTGCCAAACAATACAAGTTATTACAAGTCCTTGTGTTTTAGAGTTAAAGTCGATAATTGGTCATAATAATTATCGATTCGGAGGGTCTTCGCAAATAACAGGAACTTAGGGTTAAGTACCTTGACTACTGCCTACCGAAATACATAAAACGGTGCAACTTTGTCATGCAGATAAGACGGTAGCAGTCACCGAAAAACTCAAACCTCAGACAAATGAAGGCATCAAATATATCTTACAGTAACAACTTTAATTAAAGAATTAATAAACACATTGTAGACATCCTAAGATGGTCACTCAGCTCTAAGAAAAGTCTGTATTCAGGCCACGTTTATCCCTCTGCGATTATGATATCTATAAATTGCAAATTGATTCATCAGTTGTCACACAGAGTACTCAGTGTTACTCGTGACTGGAAAAAGCGACAGAAAGTAAAGTTGTTTTCTTAGTTACCATCTATCTTCTCAATCAATCAAGTGATATCCGAATTCAACAAAACTACGTATCGTAGTTTCATGCTCATGACTACCAACCGAAACAATATTCTGTAGAGCTACAATCAACCAATTTCACGTGGTATTGGAAGAGATTGACATTTTCAACATAGAAGTTGGCAACAGAAGCACAACACAGAGAAATGTAAACAAGAAAACAAGCATACAGGTGGATTGCTATCACGTATTGACTCAGCTATGCTTAATTCTCTTTCAACGTGAATGATATCCAGTTAGCATATATTCTTAACGCAAGCTTTTTTTGAAAGTATGAAAGTTATGTCAACAATCTAAAGCGATTAACTTGAAAAAGGAAATAAATATGTAAGAATTATCTATTGTGATACCTATACAAAGTGTAAGTAAAATTATGAAAGAATTGGGATTGACCGAACCGTGTATAAGTGAGGGTTATCTCCAAAACAAATAAGGGAGTCCAGTGGATGTTTTATTCTCTTCAGAAGTGACTATCCATACATCTGGTGCAGTCAACCACCCTCAGAAATTTGAAAACAAATACTACAAAGACACAAACTATATGTCTAAAAAGATATGTGTAAATACAAGAGTTTAGTTAATGTATGGGAAAGTTTGAGCGTCTTTTTCTTCACATATATTCATTCTCTGGTTAATTTCTTTCTTCTACAGAAAAATTAGCAGATACTTTAAATCCGTATTTCAAGTAACTCATGAAAATTGAATCGGTGGTGTCGGAGGATCTGGAAATTCTCCAACAGCATCCCAGTAAAAGATTTGCCGACGACTGAGAAACAAAATATGAGTAATACGATCTTCTAATTTTGTTAATTTCACATTCAAGTCATCCAGTGTTGGGCATCCGGATAAAGTATCTGTGACACATTCACGTTCCAAACCTTCAAAAGTAAGACGTGGATAAAAGCGAGCATGTCTTTCGTGAAGAAAAGTACGCCACCTAAATAAAGATTAGACAAGAAAAAAACACAACTCTTTTAGAAATGTAACAATGGCTGTGGAAAACAAGATTATCAAAAGAATACTATTAAAATTTGCACAAAATCTGACAAATGATTTTGTGAAGTCACTTTTTTTTTATTCCTTTACATTCCCAGTGAAACGAACATAGGGCTTCAAGTTGGAGCTTTGAAGTTTCGGTAGCAGAGGTGTTTATTTTTCGAGGGATGGGGTTGCTAACCTTATGCCTAACCTTCCAGTTTTATTACTGGCCTAGCGAGATTTGGGAGTGCGTTGACAAGGGATCGAACCCCGAAACACCTGGGTGGTTCGTGAGCATTCTACCTACCATTGTACCGCCGACGCACTATATGAAGTAACTATCGTATATTTTTGTTAACTCAAACAACTTGCAAGAATGTAGAAATATAAACAAATCTGAAGGAAACAGTAATAGGATAGCAATGTACACAAAAGCATTTGAAAGTTCTAACAGTCAGTGAATACCTACAGCATTATTCAAGTGTTGGTTTGTGGGGATTGGATTGATTGGTTACAGGATTTCATCATGAGCTGATATTTGTTAGAGAACCATTGAGAAACCTCTGAGTACTGGAGGACTGTTTCGTCTTAGTTTGGGACTCCTCATCAGTACGCACCCACCGGGGTTCAGACCCAGGTCCTTCTGGGTGCTTACTGATGAGGAGTCCCAAACTAAGACGAAACAGCCCTCCAGTACTCAGAGGTTTCCCAATGGTTCTCTAACCAATATCAACTCATGATGAAATCCTGTAACCTACAGCATTAATTTTCTCTCAGTAATTTTATGTATTTAGTAATAATAATGAAGTTCAATAAACAAAATCTGAAGGTTGTGTGAGTGCCTTGATATTGATTATGAGCAATCAGTAAATAAAACTGCGTTACTATGACTTCTTTTACTAAATAAAATTAATCTATGAAGGAACTAAACTCTACCCGTGTTTGAATTCTATTCTTATATAAATCATCATAGTATATATAGAATTTTTTTATAAGGTCTATACACATTATATGCATTTAAATAATAATTATCACCGTTGCTACAAGATATGGTTTTGAGGCGAAGTTAAAGTATCATAGCTAAAGCGAAGGTCTTTCAAAAGTTGACCTTCAAGAACTAGTCAGATACAGGGAATGCTATGAAATGTATGTCAAATCATGCTTGCCTCTTTGGACTTGGAGAAGGCAGCTACAGTATCCTACTTATTGTTTAGGCAGTGTTTTCTGTAAATCTACACTGTTAGGTAAGGTTATGGTTTTTAAGGTTAACGTTTATGAAGCTATAGAGTCTAGGGTTAAGGTTACGGTTAGGATTATAGTTAGAGTTAGGAGTAGGTTTAAGAACAGTATTAGAAATATCAATAGATCTCAAAGTAACATGACATACAGTCATCTGAGTGAGTGCATCTATTGTGCATGGTATGATTTTCCTATAGATCATCTGTGTAACAACTGGGAGACTTTCCTACAGCAGATAAACGATAACTATGTGTGTTTTAGCGCAATTTCAACGATTATGAGACTTTTTTGCATCTGAATTCTCATTGGTTGTTCAAGGTCACCTTGGTTTTAGCTATGATAGTTTAACTTTGCAGGTTTTGAAATGAATCATGGTTGTTTATTTGTCTTCATATGTACATGAAAATATAAAATCAATTCATTCGTTAACTTCTGAGGATATGAGATAGGCATTCGGAATGAGTTTCTCTTGGATTGCTTTTTGTATCTTCAAGGTTTAATGAAGTAAACCAAAAGTGTATGGAAAATTAGATGAATGAACTCTATGTGAAAATATTTCATATTCCTTTTCATTTGATCATTTTCATATATATCCATTTGTTGACTAATTCAGGACTCTTATTTCATACTAATCGTTTCAAAACATCTAAGGATACAGTAAATTTGTATAGGGGATAAATAAAATTAAAACTGATACAATATTTTGACACTGAAAAAATTGGAATTCTTGATAACTTTATAATGTTTAATTTAATTTTCCCGTCGATTGATTGGACCGAAGTGCTCGGTATCAGGTTGACATGTCGGCTTCTTGTGCAGATGCTTCGACGATGTCTGGGCATTTAATTAGTATTTAATTTGTGGATGGTGACTAGCAGTGGAATCCAGGATGAGCATTTCGTCCTATTTGGGACTCTTCAGCTGGATGTACCTGCATTCCTCAGTGAGGGATGATGTTCCCACCGAGGTTCGAATCCAGTGCCCATAGTTTCAAACGCCAAAGCGTTATCCACTAGACCACTTGAGCCACGCGTTTGGAACTATGGGCACTGGATTCGAACCTCGGTGGGAACATCATCCCTCACTGAGGAATGCAGGTACATCCAGCTGAAGAGTCCCAAATAGGACGAAATGCTCATCTTGGATTCCACTGCTAGCCACCATCCACAAATTAAATACTAATTAAATGCCCAGACATCGTCGAAGCATCTGCACAAGAAGCCGACATGTCAACCTGATACCGAGCACTTCGGTCCAATCAATCGACGGGAAAATTAAATTAAACATTATAAAGTTATCAAGAATTCCAATTTTTTCAGTGTCAAAATATTGTATCAGTTTTAATTTTATTTATCCCCTATACAAATTTACTGTATCCTTAGATGTTTTGAAACGATTAGTATGAAATAAGAGTCCTGAATTAGTCAACAAATGGATATATATGAAAATGATCAAATGAAAAGGAATATGAAATATTTTCACATAGAGTTCATTCATCCAATTTTCCAAACACTTTTGGTTAGGGTACACCCAGATGAAGAGTCCCAAATAGGACGAAATGCTCATCCTGGATTCCACTGCTAGTCACCATCCACAAATTAAATACTTTATAATGTTATTTTGGAGAGACAGAGATGCGCAGATTATTGGATTAACCCCTAAGTTGTCGGAAATTCTCTTTTTTCTTAATGCTCTTGTGAAGTGTAGCATAATCTGAGCATAATGTACTTCTATGTACTAAATAAAAATATATGAACATGTAGTACAGAGTATTTTACAACAATGTTTAACTTGTGTCTCCAGTTATTCTACATACAATGCGTGAGGGAATTTCGTATGAAAAATGAAACAACTGCTCAAATAATCAATTGTTTATGTTCCACGTCCTGCTAGAGACAGGAAGACAAACACATATGAAATATTACATAAAAACCTGACTGATGATAGAATTCAGTCTGCACTAAACAAAGGACTACACACATCCCAATAGTTACTAGTGTCCAATGAAAGTATCCAATACAGCTTTAGAGGAGGTCGATAGTGAGCCCACATAGCTCAGTGGTAATGTCTCTGACTGCAGCACTCATTGGGTGACCTGGGGTTCGAATCTCAGAAGGGACAGGAGTTCCTTCAAGCGGTTGCAGATACGCCTTGCTGACTGGTGAGTGCTAGCTAACACGAAACCTAAGTGTGCAAGGCTTCCTGTGGTCGATTACTTTCAACCATTTAACATACAGATTTATCCAAAAGGATGGCAAAGTAAAATAATCATAATATACGAATTAAATAAGTGGGGACAGGTCATACAGAAACAGAAACAAGAAAAAGAAAACATGTTACATACGACAGAACAGAATATTTCTTTCACTCAGAGAGCGAATGAATGAAATCTAGGCTGATGCGATCGATCAATCATTCAGAAGCTACATAATAATTGCTGAAGCACTTCTGAAAAGCAACATTACGTAGGAAATATGAGTTTAAAAATATTTAACTCTATGGCTACACTATATGTAAAAGTACTGTTAGGATAAGCACTTCATGTTTTTCTGTCAAACAAATAACAGAATTGCCTTATATCATACAATGTCTTTTATCAAATCTCAGGAATGTATTCCTACATGAAGGTTCAGATGTCAGAGTGTCTGTACCATCTGTTAGATGGGTTTCAATTACACTTGAAGATTTTTATAAAACAATTCTTAAATGAAACCTTTGACACTACAGTAAACTAAAACGAAAGGTAGGATTGTTTAGGGTGCCGCTAGTTATTGCATGGCATAGTGAATTCGAATAATTACTATGAACTTGTGCATTCTAACTGAAATCAATATCCATCTTTGAATTCTTGCACTACAATCAAAGATTTTTGGATTGAAAATTACCGAAGAAGAGCATAAACTGTTATTAAAGTTCAAGGAACAAGCATTTCAGTTTTACTTTCATCAGCTGATATTCTTATGTATATTAAATAAAGATAGAATTTAATTTATGATTTCAAGTGTTTGTTCAAGAATTTACTAGGATATCCGTTTCTACTTAGTAGATCACGGAGGTTACCAAGTTCTTCGTTCAGTGTCTCATTTGAACGGATAGTTTTGGACCCAGTGAACCAGACATCTTTTATTTTTATTTATTTATTTACTTGATTATAGCTTGATTCCAAACCGTATTTTTGGTACAAGTATGGAATTTTCAACATGTGATATCGGTAGGCCAAATTTTGCAGGCCAACCACTGATATCACGTGTGCGTCAACAAGGGATCGAACCCCGAATCATGTGCATGGTCGGCGAGAGTCCTAACCACTGTGCCACCGACGCACAGATCCCGTTCGTATCTGTGAAATCAGAAAAAAAAATATCGAAGATACCCACTGTTTTAAAAAAAAAATCCAATCTTCCGCCGATTACAATTCAAGGTTGATGTCAACAGTGAGATCTTATCACAATATCTGAGAAGGGCCTTCAAAAGGACTTTCAATGCAGTTAAGCTATGCTGTACATTCACTAGCCAACCAATACTTAATTCAAGAAATAAAATTTAATTCTTGCAGTTCACAACAAACTGGAATAAATTATCAAAGCAGAACTTAGTATCAAAGTGCAACAGTTCAAATTGGCACATTGCGTGAAACCACAAATAAATGTAAAGAAGAGAGATGCGGCAAAACTAAAATAAAAGGAAACTTAAGGTAATAAAGAACAACTACATGAAGAATAACAAGGATTTCCAGAATCTGGAGCAACACAGGAATTCCAAGTAGACAGTTTACTCCGTCTTAAGTGACTCAAGCCGTTAATAAAAATATCATCTCAAGATATATATATATATATATGCATGGATACCTAATCGAAACAGTATTTGATACAAAACGTAGTGCGACTGCACTCTAATGTATGCCGTTTTAGCATCAGTTTACTGCTGATATCCACTTAGACTTACAAATTTCGATAACGTCTTTTCGTAATTTAGTTATATTTGTTGCTTTATGGTTCTGAAAGCAAACAAATTTTCCTTATTCTTGTAACGCCTGCGGGAGGTCATACTTACAGTTTATACGGATATTTAATTCAGTAAAAGAATATCTTTCAAATATTTCGTTTTTCTGCTTACATTAAATATTTCACTAATTACTTTCTCCTAATGATAATTTAGTTCTCAAAGATGAAATATTGGTTCTTTGTATTCCAATTACACAAATAATGTGTACATTATGATTAAAATAACGACTACGATTATTTAAAATTATTATAGGCACTGAAAACTTACAAAAGGTAAGGATTCATATTAACAATAGTAAACTCTCTAGGTAGATATCGACAAACTAAGTAGATCCATGTGACAAGGTCATCCATTCGATAACGATGTGGACCAACAGCTTCATAAATCTGTCCAAAAGATTCTGGATTATTCAAGCAGTTGATAATTCCACGTGCAACATCACCTACATAAACAGGCTGTTTTATTGTCTTTACGCCTCGATTCCACAATGGAATAAAATAGCGTCCAGGTACTCTCAAATGACGCCCTATATACATACAAAAAGAAATAAAAGAAAATCAAGACATTTGTTAAAACATAATTACAGTATGTATTCAGTATTTATTTATTTAAACGCATAAAAACTTGGTACAACATGGCACCAAGAAGGATGCACCACACAATAATAATAAAACAACATAGATCAAAAGAAAAAAAGAAAGAAGAGAAAAAAATATATGTAAGTAGAGAACGGATAAAGAACTTCATCTGGAAAGAAAACAGTCATGCTTAACAAGTTCAAACGGTATTCGTTAACTATCATCGGGAAGGGAAGAAAGAAGGAAATTGCAACACGTGTAATAGCACGTGATAAGTTTCATTGATTGTTTGTTGCTTCATTCAATTCATTGTGTGAGGGCTGAGATACTGCCCGGGCGCCCAGACCGAAGCAGGTGGTTTTATTAAGGGACCACCCCCGAGCCTTTGACTTGGAGTCTAATCCGCAAGGCAGTGGGGCAGCGTCGGGAGCTGCATTCCCATGGTTTCCGGTGACCCATATGGGTTCATATACTGCTGCCCATGTACCCCATGGTAACTGCCTTTAGTTTAACCGCTATCCAAACAACCTTCCTGACATGGTAGGACCTGCAGCGACAGAGTCCCAGTCAGTTTAGCATGTTGGGTCATTACGGTATTTAAGCCAGGCCACCACAACAAGGTAGCAGTTATCGGCCAGAATGTATTCAGTAATAACCATCAAAAGCATATTTCTGAATAAACTGACCTGTAGAGTAAATTAATCCATTTTATCAAGAGTGAATACAGTAACGATGTTTGTTTGAAAGATAATGTCAGATGAAGTACTCTCAATGACTAACTGGCAGAGTCCTAATAAAAAAAACTTCGTACAGGAGTGAAACAGTACAAGTTGCCACGTTTTTGATGTGGTTTTGTTCTCTGAGCTGGATGGTTAGTTTGCGAAGCTTTCATCACCCTACTGGGTGACATCTTCAGCGCATACTTCAATTTGAAGTGAGCTTTTAGATTTCTCCACGAGTTTATTAATCATCCCTCCTGGTGACCTTGGACGTGATTGGTTGTTTATGTGTGTTTTCACACCTTCTAGGTTACTTGTATTGGAACTGATTGTTTCTTTGACTTGAACAAGACCGATGGCGAATGAAATCCAATGGACCAGGCCTACCACGATTCTACGGCAGACCCAAAATACACAAGGCAAATATCCCGTTACGACCAATTGTATCACTCCCACTCCAACATATAATTTGTCCAAAGAATTATACAGAAAACTAAAACACCTAACGGAATCTTGTGATCACTCCATCAACTCTGCTATCCAATTCCTAGAGAAAATCAGAGGCATCCAAATAGACGAACAAGAAATAATGATATCCTTCGACGTCACAGCAAAAGCTAGGAAAAGAAACCATAGACTCTTCAAACTTTTAGGAATTGACGTCGCACACAAACCAACAAAATCACTTCACTCAGTTCTATGTCAACCAAAAGATTCAACAACGAAAGAAGATAAAACCAACATCATCCACAAAATAAACTGTAACAACTGCGAAAAACACTACATTGGCCAAAAGTGGACGTCCCCTTCGTCTTCGTATCCACGAACATAAGCTAGCCGTCAAAAGACATGATATCCACTCCCTCATTTCACTACACACAGACAACCACGGACATCAATTCGACTGGGACAACGTTCAAACATTAGACAAAGGAAATAACAAGAATGCTAGAGAATTTTTAGAAGCTTGGCATTCCAGTGAATCATCAATCAATAAACACAACGAGATAGACAAAATTTATCAACCATTAAGAAAGAAACTTCAGACACAAAGGGTCAAAGTTCAAGTCACAGAAACAATCAGTTCCAATACAAGTAACCTAGAAGATGTGAAAACACACATAAACAACCAATCACGTCCAAGGTCACCAGGAGGGATGATTAATAAACTCGTGGAGAAATCTAAAAGCTCACTTCAAATTGAAGTATGCGCTGAAGATGTCACCCAGTAGGGTGATGAAAGCTTCGCAAACTAACCATCCAGCTCAGAGAACAAAACCACATCAAAATCATCCACCTGGGCTACAAATCTTCTCTACCATATCTAAGTTGCCACGTTCTATGTAGCACAAGAGGTAGACAGAAGACAGAGGCACACAGGAATTATAAAGAGAAGAAATGTGTGAGAGGAAGAAAAGCGTGACGGTTTAGTGCAAACAGACAAAAAAGAGTGAACGCATCTGTGTACCACTGAGAACGACTTTGATCCATGTCATCAACATTCTCCAGCCACAGATTCCTAGCATTCAGGCACTTAACACACAACACACATGAAGTAATTCAGATAAAGCCGAAGAGAAAATTTAATTTCCACACACCTAAACAGTGGAAACTAACCAAAGGATTACGTATGTGATAGGAATCTTAACAGTTAAGAGAAGAAATCATAACAGAAATTTAGTGAAAGTATAACAAAATGACCTATTGAATCTGCATGTGCACGTAAATTACCACTAAATTTCATCATGCATAAAAGAAGAGTTTCTTAGCAGAAATTGAAAAAGATTTGAGGACACATGAAAACCACTGTGGAACGTGTAACGAGCGGTTTTCAGGTATTGGTTTTGTAGGGATTTTTTGTTTGATTGCATGGAGGATTTCATCACGAGGTGACATCAATTAGAGGATTACTGGAAAACCTGGGAGTACTGGATAGCTGTTGGGTTCGAACCCCGGTGGGTGCGTACTGATGAAGAGTCCAAAACTAAGACGAAACAGCTCTCCAGTACTCCTAGGTTTTCCGATGGTTCTCCAACTGATGTCAGCTCATGATGAAATCCTCCGTGCCATCAAACAAGCGGTTTTGTTACTTGAATAAGCACAACCAATATCACGTAGAGAGCTGAACAAAAAACGAGGACGTGTTTTGTACCAATCTTCAACTCAACATAATGTGCTATATTGAGTAAGACCAGATTACTAAAACCTAGGCACAGAATAGAACTATGAAAATATACAACAAACGATGTGATCAATGTGATACGATTGATGCCCTCTGGATATGGTACACGACAACCGAGTTAACTTATGGAAAACTGTGACAGGCTTTAGAATCTGTTGCAGTATCATAGACGAACCCAGTCCTTTCTTTATAAATTTAGCAATTGAATAACACCATCTGTGTATTATGTATTAACCTGTTACCTAAACCTCTGTATATTTCGTTGGAGTTGGGCACACACTAATTGAAAGTTCAATGAGTGAATAATTACAGCACAGTTCTACAGGAAGTTGTTTAATCTATCATTCATTATCCAATCACAAAAATTTGATACGCTATCCTTTAATTAATGCACTAAACATAATTTTGGGGAAGTTCAAATTTCCAAATTTTCATATTTATACGTAGAAAGGATTCTAAATACCTTACGCTAAAACTTAAAAAGTGAATAGGAAATTTGAAAATGTAACTTGTTCTAGCAACTGAACTTACATTTTCCACCATAGTGGCATAAAAATCGATCACTCGGTCCCCATAAATCAGCTGGTCTGAAGATTGTAGCATCAGGACGTTCACGAAGAACTTCTTGTTCACCGATAGCCTTTGATGACATATATCGAGAGGGCCTCCAAACATATTTCGGTGGGTTTCGATTCTGACACAATGCAGATACGTGAACAAGTTGGTTGACTCCCATTTCTTTAGATATTTTTGCAATGCGTGCAGCTGCATCAATGTTCACGTCTTCAATCGTGAAATGTCTGGTATCAAATTCTGTGCCTATCAAGTTGATAACCACATTACTATACTTCATAGCTTTTCTTAAACATTCGTCGTCGTTCAAATTATATGGCTATAAGTTTGAAACAAAAAAGCAGATATAAATAATAATAATAATTCGCTTTATTCCAAAACAGTACTTGCAATACAGAATGGAATTCTCAGCATTTTACTACAGTATTGCATGCAGTTAGTACATTATCAATAAAAAAATTCTACACCGACCAAGGAAATCTCAGTTCATTATGACAACAACATATTGGCATGTCGGTAGCAAGGCCAAAAATTGAACAGTGTCTGAAGTTGTTAGAAAAGTAGATGCTAGCATATTACTGGCATAAGCAGAAAAAAGAAACAAAGCAGCACATAACAGAGGAAAGAAGTGAGGGAGAAAAGGAAAAGAAAGAAAACGTTGTACCTTTAAAAGTATGAATTGGAAAGATGAGATCCAGTTGTTCTACTGACTATTTAATAAGTTATAGGTATCACGCCTAATGCTTTCTTTATCGCACAGAACACGAGCTAAGTAGGATATGGTTGAGTTTTTGTACTTACTAGTGAGAGCGTATAGTTTTCTATATAGGCTTCTGGTTTTGCCTGATGACATTTATCAAATACAACATATCTTAAGGTAAAGAAAGAAGTTTGATAGTTGATGACACCATTGGTACCTTAAGATGGGGTTGGAACAAATAAGCGACAAGTCAATAGTAAGAGTTACAATCCAATAGTGAGAAAATGTAACCGCGGTTTACACGATGCCGAGAATTACACAGTTTCGATCATTACGGAAACCAATAACTAAAAGCAAAAACAAACAAGCAGAAAACAGCAGTGAAAAAAAAATTCAAGAGTAGGAGACGCTTTTAGCTTATGATGAGGGTGATAGCTGTTGAGTGTTTCTAGTTGTTACCTTAAGCAAGCCATAGAGAGTTAATGTTCATAACCCACTGGTTGATAAGTAAGAAGTCAAACCGATAAGCCATATAGACATAACTAATAAATGAACGCCGTACAATTTGGCACACTAACAGACTGATTCGTTAATACACATCTCCAGTCAGTTAACCAATAAATAAATAAAAATTATTCACAGAGTAATGAAAAGCCAGTTTTAATGCAGGCGGGGATCTGCCAATGGCACCCCCACAACCACCATCGATAAATTGATATAAAATCTGCCTAGTGTCACCTTGATGTCAGTGGTGAAGTGACAATATGTCTCCTCATATTTAAAATTAAGACTGACCAGATACAGATGATTAGACTGTCAGCATGGAGCTGCATAAATATCCACAACATGTCCCACCATCTGATCTAAGTTATCGATTTTAGTATGAAGTTACATCTACAATAAGTATATCTGCGCCAACTGAGCCTATTCTGATACAGTGGGCATGTAATCAGACATTACAAAAATAAATCGATGATCACAATTTCCTCTTAAAACTGGAGTGACGTACATTGGAGAAATACACACACCATATTTAATCAGGCTGACGAGTGCTGATTCAAAGGTTGACATCATATATACGTAGGCTAACGCTGAAAAGCTTGAAAAATACACTTTGTAATATATATATATATATATTGTTTATCAAAGTCCAGATAAATGCATCATGAGTTCGAACCTGGCTTTACGTAACAAATTTCGAGGAGAAAACCAAAGAACAAGCCAACAGCTGTGTGTAGCTTTGCTCATTAGGTCATGAATCGAACCAGTCATTTGTGGGCTTATGATTGCCCGAACTTCAGGAAGTGGGATATGGTTCGAGTCTATATGCAACACAATCTCTTATTGCAAACCTTTAGATCAGTGAAGTATAACATCACAGCAGTAAGATTAACGACCGCAATAAATTGAAGTGTTCTGCTACTTTGGGAAATCAGAAAGCTGTAAGACCTGTGTCGAAAACAAGACATACATTTAATATTCAGCGTTTTTGAAAATTCTAATCTACTTTATGGTCCGACTGATTAATTATAAAAGAGGATAAAAAAGATTGGCATGGATGAAGGAACTTTTTTCGACCGGACTACCTACTTGGTTGTAGCACTGTGAACATATGTTAGGAGAAGGGTACTTCCGAAGAAATTTCAATCAGCACTCAAACTAATAATGGATAACGAAAGAAAGTTACGTAATACGAGTAAGGAAACAGAGTAGAGAAATAAACATATAAGTAACAGCTCAGTAAAGAGCCCATTTAAAACCATCAGTTCTTCATTATTACATTACTGAAAAAAGTTTAAGGTACATCATTGGAAACAACTCTACCTTGAACTTCCGGATCGCTAGTCCTTTCGCTATGCCTGTGTTCTTTCACCTCATTCTCTTACAGTGGCTTCACAGAACTTTCTAAATTCAGTCGCTACAATCGAACGACTTAAGCTCCTGAAATGTTTTTTTGTTCAGTGGAAAATGAATTTTCGTTTCTCTTTCACCTAACAGAAGTGACTGGAATCTTGTATTTGACAATGATATTGCTGCAGAAATTTTCTGAACACATTTATGGATTCCATTGTAAAATTTATTTTGATAAAGTCAAAGCGTCAAACAGTAATATTTACTGATGACGTTTCGAGAATAATTTATTGCTCATAATTATATCAAGGCGATCACATGAGTAGTCAGATTATTATGAAAATGCAACAAAATTAACATACCAAAAATAAAATTTGTCCCAAATCCCCCACGACCTTGATATCTTTAACGGCGTAAGGATCGCATCTGTAAGGCAATATAATTTGAGTTCCAGTCTTCGCAAGATGAGTCAACAAAGTTCTCCCCAAGTATCCATTCCCCCCGAATACAGTTGCAACCATGCCATTAAACGATGCCCTCCCACCTGTACCTCGTTTTAATTTACTTAGAGCCAGCGGCTCATCTGCCAAACATTTTGAAGTTGTTGTCAAGGGGCGACTATTCAAACAGCCTGATTGAAGAGGAAAAATACATTAACTGCATCACATATATGGATGAAGGCAAAGTGGGGCAAAATAAAATAACCTCTTGATATGTAAAGATGATCTACTAGGTGGAGAAAAGTAGTACACAAGATAAAAATCAACTGATACTCTAGAATTTGCTTGCCGTTTTAAAGCTAACTAAAATACATTCTCTTAAGAACAGGAAAGTGTCGACCACCAACAAAAGTCAGGGGATAGGTAAACTTTTACACTTTCGTCACGACTAGAAGAAAAAGAAACCTCACTTCTCTTGCAACGACAGTCTACTGCATTCGCACTAAAACAAGTACTGAGTGAGTAATTGTAATGAATTGTTTAATCAACTAATAATAGGCACCTAAAATTTTCCGTCGATACACGTTTAGAGAAAAATACTTATGCTCTGTGAGACCTGGATGTGCCGATTAAACGACTAATTATAAATCCGAGATTCAAGGGAAACGGGCTTAGTGTAGTAATCAGCAGAGGTAGATCATGAAAAATCAAAGATTATTCTTTGTTGCATTTCCATGCCTCATCTTTTCTACGCATGCTCTTGTTTATCAGAACGTCAAATAAAGGAATCCCACTGTTGGCAACTTTAATATGCACTCATACTAACTCACTTCTGCGGAGTTATGCACATAAAACCTTGCAAGAAAGACATTGTCTAAATGTACTTATAAATACCTGCTAGCATGGTTTCGAGAAGAATGTACAAGTCACCAGCACAACTGTAGAATACATCACTACACCTGGCCATGCAGCATGAACAAACACTTCATCTGCAGTCATACATAGAGCAACATCGACGATGAAAGCGATTTCTCTCACACCTTCATAATGAAAACCAAGAAGTTTGTGTTCAGAAACGTATGTAGCATTTTTCACCATAACGGCCTTAGTGTCAGTCTTACTCTCCTAATCTCTTGCATGGTAAATCCTATGTAAGTCACGCGTATAGCTCACTTTAGATTGTTTGTGCTGTTGTCCCCCATCTTCAGATCGCTATTCAACACCTTGCTATTACTACTACACTTTCTCAACTGCATAAGTTCTTTCATTATATTATACAATCCTGATTCTCATATAGTGATTTATGTTTGTTCACTAAATGACAGCAACTTCTGACCCTCGTTAGCAATTAACATGGTACGAAAATTGCCCTCTTTGCTGACTTGTGTTCCTTCAAGCTCTTTTGTCTTTCGATAAATGACACTGTACATCGTTTCTGAATCGGTTTTATAAAGAGAAAAATTTACAGTCTCCCATGAGTACCATGTTGCTAAAGTAGACTGCGGAAAATCGCTTTTTGAAGAAATTCCCCAGTCCGAAAGCAGAAACAACTGTTTGATAGATAATTGGTGCACACCCCCATCAGGGAAGTAAGATGAAAATTGTATACAGTATCAGTTACTATGTATCATATCATAATAATTCAAGGTTTTAAAAATCAGAAAATTAACATACATTAGTAAGCTGCAGTTTATTTCTTATAGACGAAATATGTAAAAAGACAACAAGGCAACAGGAGAAGATGTATATATATGCGATAAAGAAAACTCACATGAATTACATCTGAGTAACTGTAGACTCAAATAGCTGAGATTGCGCATAGCTGTAGCGCAACTACCATTTAAAAAAGCGCACGTCCAATATCCAATATCCAATATCGTTTTTACGAGCTAGTATAAACCAATTTGATTTCTTTGTGCTCGCTTCTTGATTGTGAGGTATAGGTTCTTGATCTTCGGTAAACTTCTGCGTAGCTTGTCCCGCCACTCGACTGTCGTAGCTTTGGTTGACTCCAAAGGGAGTAGTGCTGGGATTAATTATATGTGGTTTGTAGTATGAGGTATGTTAAGACTGTTACTACTGTGATTGGAGTTGATCCTTTCGCCAGTTAGTCCTTCGGTATTGTCGACAAGAGAAAAGAGATAGTAATAATAATAATAGTAATAATAATAGATATAATTAGTGAAGCTATTCAGACTAAGAGACAGAAACGAAAATAGGAAACGTAACAACAGTCAGCTCATTAAGTTTGAAGAATAATATATATATCGGTAATAGTAATAATAATAATAGTAATTATAATATTAATAAGTTGTCAGGAGAGTAAGACGGGAGAGAATGTAAAGAAGTAAAATGACGAGTTTAATTATCTACCCTGATTGGTAAATGCGATTTTAAGGAGATAGGCCATTTGGATGCAGTCCTTGTATCGCTGCATGGTTGTCCAGCCTTCGCTTAAAGGCGTCCAAAGACGGTGCCATAGCTACATCTGCCGGTAAGGAATTCCAGGGACGACAAACCCGCAGTGAAAAGAAGTGGGAGCGCACCCGGGTCCTTGCCCTCTGGTGAGCTATCCTTCTGGGATTTCCACGTGGAAGCCTATACCTACTCAATGGCAGAACACCTTTGTTTGGGTGATTCTGGTCATTTGTTATTTTGTAGGCAGTAATCAAATCCCCCCTAAGCCGACGGTAACTAAGTGTGAACAGGCCTAATTTCTTCAGCCTTTCATCATATGGTTTGTTTCGGAGACCAACCACTCCTTTTGTTGCCCGTCGTTGGACTCTTTCCAAGAGGTTGGCATCTCTTCTCAGCATTGGGGGTGCAATAATATTATGCACCTCAAGGTGTGGCCTGACGTATGTTTTGTACAACATTAGAAAGAGCTCAGGAGTGAGTGCACCTAACTGTCTATGCGTAAAGTGTATGACCGCATATGCCCTCGCTACATCCCCTGTGTAATTTACGCTTGTGTCCATTTTTTCCGTTAGAACTAGACCTAAGTCGCGTTCCGACGTTGTGCAGGACAAGCTTTCATTGCACAGGGTGTAACTTGCATTCTGCAGTCTACAGGTGCGCAACTTCACTACTTTGCACTTTTTCAAGTTGAAAGTCATGCCACTGGCCACCGCCCAGTCTTCCAGAAGGTTTAGGTCTTCCTGTAGCCTATCTGAGTCCTCCGGACACTTTATCGCCCTCCATATTTTTACGTCGTCAGCGTACAGGAGAGTCGGGCAGCTCAGACGGCGTGGTAGATCATTGATGAAAATCAAAAACATCAGTGGTCCTAGGATAGAACCCTGCGACACTCCTGATGACGATCTGTGCCAAGATGATCGGACTCGGTTAACCTTAGTGCAAAATTGCCTGTCGGCTAGGTAGTCCTTCAACCATGACAGAAGTGGCTCACCTATGCCTGCCTGTCTTATTTTATGTAGGAGAAGGTCATGGTGAACAGTGTCAAATGCCTTCTCAAAGTCTAGGAAGACCACATGGACTGGTACGTTCAAGTCCCAGCATGATGTCCAGTCGTCCCAAGCTGACAGTAGGTTAGTGACGCAGGATCTGCCTTTTCTGAAACCATGTTGGGCTTCATGTAGTATATTAGTCCTATCGAAATATTCCCTGATGTGGTCGTCAATAATACTTTCCAGTACTTTTGATACCACTGGGAGTAGAGCTACTGGTCTATAGCTAGCAGCGTTTTGCCTGTCCCCACCCTTGAAGATTGGAGAAAGGATGGCTCTTTTCCACTCCCTTGGCAGGGTCCCCGAATCCATTGAGTGTTGGAACAAGTCGCACAGGGGTCTACAGAGAGCCTCGGCGCACTGTTTCAGAACAGATGGCCTGATGTCATCACAACCTGGGGACTTCCCAGGTATGAGTCGCTGTAGCTTCCTTAGTACTATTGCGGGGTTTATTTGGGGAGTAGTCGCTAGGTCTTCCTCCTCTGAAATAGTGGTGCCACCATTTTGGTCCGTAACTGTAATATCCACATTGCTGTTTAGCTGTTTAGCGAAGGCTGAACTGAATGTTTCAGCCATCTCCAGACTAGTGAGATATTGACCGTTTGGGCCTACTAAGGCGCATGCCCCTTGGTTTGTCGGTTTTCTTTCCGACATGAATCGGTACAAGTTTTTAGGGTTTGATAGGAGTTTTTTAGCAAGGTTAGCCTGGAATGACCTTCTGTCCCTCCTAACTCTTGCATTACACCGGTTCCTGAGTTCGAGGTATGCATCATGGTCGGTCTGACTCTTAGATACACGCCACGTAAACCAAGCCCTCCGCTTTGCTTGCAGAATACGTTGCGTGCCTCTCTTCAACCATGACGTCTTTCTCTTAGGCTGTGTTGTGACTAAAGGGACGGTATCCGAGATTGCTGCATGGATAATCTTTTTTACCACTTCCCAGTGTTCATCCACAGATAGGTCGTCCCATGCTAAGGGCCAGTCTGCGTCGGACAAGAGCCTCCGCATTTCAGCATAGTCAGCCTTGCTGTAGCACAGACATGGTCGCGTAACATCCCATTGCAAACGCTCACGGAGGACAAGATCGAAACCTATGACTGCATGGTCACTGCTTCCCAGAGGAGTCATGATCTGGACCTTTTCGACGAGTAGCTGGTCACTAGTTAGAATATAATCTAGTTTTGATGACTTTCCACTAGGGCCCCACCTAGTGTCGTCTCCAACATTCTCAGTCAGTCCCGTGTTTCGAATAGTTTGCAGTAGGTTTCGGCCAAATTTTCCCTTAGCACACCCGGAGCCAAGGTTCAGTGATGGAGCATTGAAATCTCCAGCTATGGTGATTTGGTCGTAGCCCAAATCTCGTATTCCTGTGATAGTGCTGAGCAGTAGCTGATTGTGCTCTGCCCCACAGGTGGGAGATCGGTAGATGCCACCCAGTAAGTGCTTGGTGTGGCCTACGGTGAAATGACACCATATGGAGTCTGGGAGTTCGATAAGTGGTGGGTCCGTTGCGCGCACACATTTAAGTTGCCTATCAAAGTATATAGCAACTCCCCCTCCTTCCTTATTATCCCTGTCTCTTCTGACCAGTACCATATCACCTATACTGATTTCATTGTCGGCGATAGTGGGGTTTAGCCACGTTTCAGTAAGAATGATTATTTTCAGTTGAAGGTGTGCTTGGAGATTTCGAAGTTCACCTACTTTCCCTCTCAGCCCCCTCACATTGCTATATAGGCAACTGACAGTGAGTCTAACAACCTCAGAGTGTTGTGGGGTAGTTGACGTGAAACCGTCTGCTGGTGGGGGACTTGATGTTGGAACTAGTTGGCCGATTCCGATAGAACCGGCCCGTTGTAGTTTTTTTCAATGGATTTAGGCAGGACACTTGGGAGACACAGACTATTATTCTCAGAGCTGCATCGCTCTAGTGTCACCGAAGCTTGGGGTCGTATTAAAGCCTCAGTTTGCTGCCTCCTTATATTTCTGGGTCTGCTTTCACAGCATCGGATGTGTCCTCCAATTTTTCCCTTGGTCTCATACCACCGTTGAAGTGATATGGACAACTGCTCCGGGGAGTTGAATGTGACACACAGCAGCTTTGGAGAGTTAATCAATGTTAGATGAGCGGGACGAGGTAGTCGGAAAATGGAGATGGCTCCAGAAGCGCCAGGGGCCATCTGAGATGACAGCCATCTCCATTGTTGTACGTCGTGCATGTGTTTTTCACAAGCAGTGCCGGTTTCCAGCTCCGGAACACCGTGTACCACCATAGAGGTGGAAGGCATCAGTTCCGGTGACTCCCTCGCCATATTTCTGACGGCCCATGGTCTATCTTGCCGCGCTCTTATGTTAGAACTTCTGTCCAGGGCTAGTACCTGAGCCATTAACAGTACTTTTTCGGCCTCTTCGGCAGAGTCCAGTGTAACCCGTAATGGGGGTGGCTTACCCTGAGGCGTGTGGACACCCCTGTACAGTCTGCACAGTTTTGCTGAACTAATGTTCAGACCTAGTTTGCCGCACAGGTTGGACCACTGTTCCTGATCAAACAGGGCCCGTTGTTCGAGCAAGCTATCCGTGCTCACAGGTACGTTAAAGAGGATGAGAGAGTTAGACCGACTACCCTCAGACTTAGGTTTTGCCTTCGGCTTCTTGCAGTCCTTTGCATCATTAGCAACATTAGGCTTCATCGGTACCTGGACAGCCTTTTTTGTGTTGCCAGGCTTGCTAGTGGATGCAAGTGGTGCCTTTGTAATTTTGCCTTCCCCTGATGTGGATGGAACCTTGCTAATCTTCACCTTGTGAGAATTGGCATTTCCAGTCAGTAGGGCTGGTGTGTCCTTCTTTAAGTCTTTGACCAGTTTCGGCAGTGCGAGTTTAGCAGGGGGGAGCTGCATGATACTGTGTTGGGGCACAAGAGCGTGTTATTTCTGCTATCCGCAGACACGCTTTGTGGGACTATGCCAGGGCGACAAAGTGGACACACGTACCAAAACCATGGGCATGGGTTATTTCTCATAAACTCATAGTATGCTTTCGGTACTTCTTTGTCACAACGGCAGTGCACCCATCGTTTGCAAAAATTACATTCAAACGCTGAATCAGTTTTAGAAACTGTGATGCTGCACGCCTGGCATTCATCCCCTTTCCTTGATGACGCCTTCGAGGTCTTATGACGTCTTGAACGTTTCCTTTTAGGCTTGATGTGTTTCACACACTGGCCTACAGTTGATGCAGGTGTAGAATTCTGTCCTTCTGGTATTGCCTGTGCCGTTTCAGTACTAGACTGTGGCAATGCAGGCGTTGTATCAGGGCAGACTAAAGCTACACGAGTCTTTAGGATCGGTATGCGG